TCAACACATACACACAAATCTGCTAAAAAGTACTTGAGGGTTTCTTGAGCCTTTAAAAGCAATCAAAGTAAATCAAGGTAAAATGACATATTTGCAATAAACTTTTCTGTAACATTTGCTTAAAAAATGTTATTGATTAGGTTTAGGCAAGGATCTAGGTGTCACACTCAAAGCTCAGTTCTGCTGCTCCAATCACCATTCTCCCTCACCAGCCACCTCTCACCACACCTGTGCCCAATCACCTGAGTACTAATCCCTTGCACCTGCACCCACAATCACTGCACTCCTTAAATACTCACCTCTTGCACTCACTCTTTGGCTGGAATTGAAGTTGGATGGTTCACATCACCTTATCTCCCTCTTTTTCTCCCATGGATGTCTCTCGTGTTCTTCTACGGATGTCTCTCTTCGCATATGGAAGTTAATACAACTTACAAGGGAAGTGACTTATCTGTTGTCTAACTGAGGATCTAATGTTTACCTGATGAACTGTGTGTGAGATTGGTCACCTTCTAATGTTTACCTTGTGAACTGTTTATGAGATTCCTCACTCTCAGCAACACCATTCTCCTGCTTCATCGTTCTGAATCAGCTGCATTGTTATGAAATAAAACCCTTTAAATATAACCATCCTTCTCTTTCTTGTGTGAACGTAACACTGGCACTGCGTCCCAAATCGCATACTTGAGCACTATTTTACACCGTTTGTAGTGTGCATATATAGTGCGTTCACACTGAAATCTCTAAAAATAATAAGTGCACTTTAATTACCTGGATGATGCACTCATTCAGCCGTTAAAATGAAGTGGAATGATGGACACTTCACGCACTCAACGACCACAGGTTTGCTCACCTTGCGAAAGGGGCGGAGCTATCGGGCGCACATGTTGGATAACTTTATTTATTTTGGATATTGAAAGCAAAATTCTCCTATGAGAGATTATAGCACCTTCTGGTGGGGAATGCGTTTATACTCATGGCAGGTATTATTTGGTAGTTTGGTCATTTATTTCACTGATTTGGCAAACGTCATCAGGGAAACGGTTTGAATTTCCGCTTGGTAAACAAACATTATTGCTCCATTTGGGATGACACTACATACATATACTATGCTGTTGAGCATGTAAGTGCATAAGTACATAGTGCATAGTGTATAGTGTGCTATTTGAGATGCAGCTTAGGTTAGTTGTTTGCAAGGTGATCTGTATGACAAGCCTTGCCATCTCATGAACATGTTGAAAAAGGATGTGTATCTGACACGTTTATTAAAATGGATCCTAAGTCAGCTATTTCAGATTCGAAAAAATGTAGACAGCGCCCTCTAGTGGATTTTTCATCTGAAACATGTAACAGCACATTCCCGGAACAACATATTGTACATTTTACAAAAATGTATAGGCTGAGGCAAGTTTTTTTTTTTCAATAAGCCTGGGTTGTATAAAATGCATAAACAATTGTGCAGCAGAGTGACTCTATTGCACTGCATGTAGTGAAAACTAGCAGTACAGTATGGTTTGTTCACAAAGTGCGAATTTTTTGAGAAAGCCATTGAGAATACTTAAAATTTCGGTGTGTGACTTTGGCTTTAGAATGTGGTTGACACTTTTGTAAATAACCATATTTGAACATAACCATAAAGACTCACATGCAGAAGTATTATCTGTATTCTGTGCTGAATGCATCAACAGTACATTCTTTTGACTTCCTGGCAAAATTTTCACCCAAAAATAATTCTAGAGGGCAGGGATGTCAAATTCAATTCCTGGAGGGCCGCAGCCCTCCACAGTTTATTTCCAACCATAATTAAAGACACCTGATGAAACTAATAGAGTCCTTCAGGCTTGTTTGAAACCTACAGGTTAGTGTGTTGGAGCAGGGTTGGAATTGAACTGTGCAGGGCTGCGGCCCTCCAGGAATTGAGTTTGACATCTCTGCTGCAGGCTTTCTTACACAACCTAGTATGCTTGGAAGTTTCTTTCAAGCTGGTCACAAGTTGGTGATTAAATTGCTGTATTTATATATGGTTTTATATGAAGATTTGTAGATACAGGGCCTTTAATAATTATATATACTGATGTTTATTTTAAAAAAAAAAGTGTTTTTCCAGTTATTCCAGATTTGTTACAAATTCTTCTATCCTAGTTTGTTTGCAAAGTTCCACATAAAAATAATGAATTACATTTCATTTGTATATCTGCATTTGTAAATTTCATTTAGTTTGATAATTTAATTGATAGTTTAAAAAAAATCCTACATTATAATCCTACAATATAAACTATTTCCCTCGACTGAATTCCCAGTAACTTATAACAGTAACATATAGTGGGTATTTAAGATTTTGATTACATAACCACCACACCTAGTTTCCTATGTGTCATCTTATTCAGACCAGTTTTTCCTTCTTCTTAATGATAATGCAGTCATTATTTTTGGCCAGGTTTCTGGGATATATGGGAATTTTGGACCATAGTTTCCATCTTAAGATAAATCTTCATCTCACAGCATTGCAGCTTTTACTTTACCAGATATATTATCCACTGGCACATGTTTTTAGCCACAATCAGCATCTGCAATGCATTAAAACACTTTAGTAAAAACTTGCACAGTTTCAAAGGTCCTCTTGGCACCTTTACCATGTCACAGAAGTCCCTTAAAAACATCACCTCTCTTCACTAAACACAGCCAGATGCAGAGTTTGGAAAAATATATATTATTTGTAAGTTATAATACAGCCTGTTTAGCTAGAGAACTGGAGATCATCATATTTCTAAAAGCGATTATAATTTGAACTTAGAGTTTTTGAATACATCATGTAACTCAGCACTTAGGGTCATGGCATGCTGCTTGAGTTTGTTTATATGTGTGTGTTCAGGATGTTAACAGGAGGGTTGTATAAATGGCCTGGTGTAATTGTTTTTTACTGCTGCATGTCCCAGAGGCACAGTCCTGTTGGCTTGTGCACGGGCAGTCAATGGGATCCAGGTGTGACAACATGCTCACATGGCAACTATTTCACATTTTGCCAAATGGCTAATTCCTATTAATTCAATTCATACCCTTAGCTTATTGATATGTTTTGTAATCTGTTCATATCTCATTTACAGTTAGGTTTAGGGGTGGACAATAATGCTTCATGCATAAACAGTTGAAGTCAGAGTCATTAGCCCTCCGTTAAATGTAAAAGCCTTTTATACCCCCCCCCCCAAGTTTTGTTTGACAGAGAGATTTTTTAGCAAGTTTAAACAATAGATTTAATGCCATGATGACAGTGCATAAGGTTTCACTAGTTATTCGGTGAAATAGTGGTATTCAGCTTGAAGTCGGTTATCTAGGCATGTGAGCTCAATTGTGCAAGTCATGGGACAACAGTGGTTGGTTCTATAGCCAATCTGGGGGAAAAACAACACAGGCTCATTGTTAAAATGTACCCCCGTATACATTTCTAGAGAGCATGAATTATGTAGCCAGAGCTACGTATGGCTGCATTTCATCTTTAAAACTAACTCTATGGGGCGGTATGAGGTTGCCCCCAGGTTCTGTTTTTTTTGTGCTACCAGCTAACTGCTTAAGCCTAGTTCACACTACAGGATTTTAAACATCAGCAGATCGCTGTGCTGTTCACACTACATGACTTGACTTTGTGTCTTTTAATCTCTGTGGTGTTCACACTACGCAACACTCTGTGAACGATCCACAAGAGGGGGGTCACACACTACATGATCTGACAACATCTCATTCCCCATCAGCTCATTCAAGCTACCAAACCACAGCCAATGAAAATTTGAGGGAGGAGTCGTCAGAAAAAGCTGAACACTATTGGCTGCTTGTGTGCTGATGACATCGCTGACAGCGTTTCAAGCTTTGGAGAAAGCATTTAAAAACATCGTCAAATCAGCTGATTTATGAGCGGATTAATCACTCATCTGCAGGTTCCAGTGGATAGATACACAGAGAGTTTTTAATTTTTGTAATTTTATAACTCTTTGAAATAAAACTAACATATTTATAACACCCTGCCCTTTTCTAACTATCAGTATATTTCTTTCTGACATTGTTATTTTTTTTTATTACAAAACAGTAAAGAACTGAGCATTTCTGCCTTAAATTACCATATTGGTCAAAATGACTGCATGCATGTCTGATACTTTTCGCTGTGACTTTAAATATGTGTGCATTTTCTTGCCTGGCAACTTCCTGCTAACATAAACAAAACTTTCTGATGGCAAAAACATCAATTTACTTCAGATATCTTTCAAAACAGCATATTCTGTGCTGTGTAATAGCTCCTGTTTGAAAGTGAAAATGAAAGCCAAGACCTTTAAGTGTTTTAGTATCTTAACTACATATTTATAGGCTGTATTACCAAAAAAATATTATATTTTTAGGGTAATGGTGTCATTAAATATGATGCCAGACATTCAAAGCTTAATTTTAATATCTCAATAATAGCTTTGAATGTAAATATGTTGTGACAATATGGCGTTTCATATGAGAATGGTCAGAATGAGCAGTATGGTAATTCTAATAGTTACAGAATTCTAGTTCCACTGTTAATATAGCCTCCTCTCATGTCTGTACTAACGCAAAATGAAGCGAGTGCACCGATGCCCATTCTGACCAATCACAGATGTTTCTGCTGAGCTCCTGAACACACAGGCATTCAGCTCATGCTGATCTGCTCTCTCATTGGCTGTAGCTCGTCACTACATCTGACCACACACTGTCAGAAAAAATGTGCAAAATTTGTACCTTTAGGGGTACAATGGCTTGTCACTGGGGCAGTACCCTCAAGGGTACACCTGTTGTACCCTTTCACATGGGTACATATTTGTACCCTAGCAGTATGTACCTTAATGGGTAAAATATGTACCTCTGCTGACTAATTGTACCTTACTTGGGCTCTGGTGCAAAAATGTACCTTTAAAAAAGGTACAATTTCTCCTCCATAGGGATGAATTTTGTACCCTTTCATTTCAGATTTGTACTCCATACACATTAAATTTCATTTATCACATTTATTAAACATATTAAATATCAACATTTTTACAGGATGAATGTTTAAACATTACATCATTTTAAAATAATAAAAAGCAATATTTTTCCATGAGTACAAACTGCACGATAATTGTACTTTTATACTTGTAACCTTTTATCACAAACACTCATTGAAAGATTCAAAAAAAATTACATTGTCACCTTTTTAGAGGATGAAAGTTTTAAACTATCACAATGTCATACCAGATGCATAAACTTAAAAAAATTGCTGCTTAAACATTAAAACATTTTATGAAACAGCAAAAAAGCTTAATGTTATTTTTTTTAACACCAGTACATCCCATTTCACTGAGCATTTTTACCAATGTAACAAAGTAATCTTTCTAAAACAGCACTAGACCTCATGAAGTATATTTTTGTTAGTGCACTGCATTCTACATTTTTCTAAAAGCATCAAGAATCTCAAAGCAATCTATTTCCATACAGTAAATTGAAACTTACTGTATACCCTTAATCATTTTAGATCTCAAAAACACTTTTGATCAAACAGTATTACACATTTGATTTAAAATTTCTAAACATTCTTAAACAGTTTATCAGCAGAGTATGTTTAAAGAGCCTGAAAGTCCATCTGTCTTGGTTTATAACACCCCATTCAAAGTCAACTCCTAGTGTATTTGCATGGAACTATGAATCATACAACAGCAGTATTATAAACTTGCCACACAGAAACCAGTGCAGTATTGACATTTAAAATGTATTTCATTAGGAAAGAGTCATTTCTTCTCCATTAGCAGTCTCACATGCACACAAAAAGAGTTCAATTTGAACACCTGAATGCGTCAATCTCATCAAGGATGTTGGGCAGAAAAAATTCTTAGCATTGTGTCATCTTGTGCTTCTCAGTTGATTTGGGCAATGTTATTGAAATGTCTATAGCTGCTAGTCTTAAAATACTGATGCAGACTCGAAACGCATGCAAAAAAGTAAATGCAAAGATCCAAGCATTGCTGTTTGATGCAGACCCAGTAATACCAGTTCTCTCGGACAGCTGCACTGAGTTGTTTTTCTTGTAATTTTGGATCTCCATCTTCACACCGTTGCTGATGTTCAAATTTAAATTGTTGCTCCATCTCGGGGAGTTGCTGATGTTCATCCTTTGCATTCTTTATGTAGCGTGGATAAGCCAAGTTGAAAACACAGTAAACGGGGAAGGATGTAATAATGCCTTTTAACTCCTATTCTCCAACACTTTGCAAAGGATTTTCAACCATCTGTAGAGGTGGGTAGGGAGCATCATCATCATCCCACTGTGAAAAGAAAAAGAAAAAAGACATCAATAAACAATGTAAAATCTGTCAGAACTGCATAACATCTATCAGAGTATTACAAAGTGTTTAACCAACAGTACCCAAACCTCTTCCAGTGTAATTACTGTAAGCAATCAACTTTCTCTTTAAAGATATGGGGGAGCAGAATTAGAGCAGCACGAAAGTCTGAATCTATTGTAAAATAAAATCATCCATTTATTTATTTTATTTTCGGCTTAGTCCCTTTATTAATCTGGGGTCGCCACAGCGGAATGAACCGCCAACCTATCTAGCACGCGTTTTACGCAGCGGATGCCCTTCTAGCTGCAACCCATGACTGGAAAACACCCATACACACTTATTCACACACATGCATATGGCCAATTTAGCTTACCCAATTCACCTGTAGCACGTCTTTGGACTTGTTGGACTTGGACTTGTGGAGGAAACCGGAGCACCTGGAGGAAACCCACGTCAACATGGGGAGAACATGCAAACTCCACACAGAAATGCCAACTGACCCAGCCGAGTCACGAACCAGCAACCTTCTTGATGTGAGGCGATTGTGCTACCCACTGCACCACCTTAAAATAAAATAAAGACAAAAAATTAACAAAGTACTCTTAAATAATTTTATAATATAAAAGGACCCGTTTTTAAAATAAAGAAAAAAAATATTGGAACGTTTAGCAAATGCTGAATAAAAGATATTTAATGTATTTTTATGAATTACATTTTTTAAAGAAAAAAATTGAGACATGTTCTCTATATAAAGGGTTTGTATATAAGGCCTATGAGTTTGAACTTTCTAAATGCAGCTTGAAAAGGCACTTAATGATCCCATCCAAGAAATAAAGGTTTGATCTGCAAAATTATTATTATGTAAGTTTTATGTTAATACCTGTTAGATCATCTGCAAACTTCTATTCTCCTGCTTTTTTGTAGACTTTGGCCAGTGGAGATGCTTTTTTTCTTAATCAAGCTCAGGTACCTTTAGCACAAGCTGTCCTTGAAGCTCTGACTTGGTTGGAGATGGTTGATGAATGCATTCAGTCAGGTTCACCATGACTATAATAAACAAAAAGGAAATTAGTGATTCACTTTAAATAAAAACTATATCTAATATTCTTTGTTGCCATTTCCTTTTAGTTGTCACTGTACAAATAGTTGTAAGCTTGAATGCACATATGTGTTCAACACAAAGCTTGAAAATTAAAATATTTTTACAATAGTCATAACATTTATAATAGTCATTTGATCCTACACTTTGGCTTATACTGACATTAAACATTTAATTTAAACTGAGAACTGATTTAAAATGTGTGATCTCACTGACAAGGGTGTTTTTAATAAAGGGTCACACACCTTATTTCACTGGATACGCAGGACATTCGCATTACCCTCAAATGATGATGCATCCTCACCAATTGCAGGAATCACCTATTGGTTCAAATATAAGTCAAAAATAATGGCAATCATAAAAATTCAAATTTAACTTTAACACTTCACTTTACAGTTCATAGAAAAAGGGAGATTAAATTTAAGACTGCACAATGAATTCCTAGGGAAAATGTATATACACACACACACACACACATACATATATATATACATATACATATATATATATATATATATATATATATATATATATATATATATATATATATATAATTATTAACAAACAGATGAAAGACAAAATACTAAATACTTACGTTATTACACTCTACTGCTTCCTCGTCCACTTCATTTTCTGAAATAAAAAAAATCATGATCGGTGTGAACTTCAGGTTAACAGCAAAAAAAAAAAAAAGCTTTAAATTAGCAACTCAAAGGTTTGATAAAGACCTGCCCCTCGATCTGACACGACAGATGATTAGGACTCTCTTGAACATGCGTTTATAACGTTATTTAAATACGTTACAAAATACAACTGCTATAAATGAACGTGGTTCGAGATATGCATAAACTAAAGTTATATTGTTTCAGACATAAAGGGGACAGGCATTCACTTCACTCCTGTCCTGAGTAAACATGAACGTTAGCATGAACGTTAGCTTTCCAACACTGAGAAAATTCTGAATTTATAAATAACGTATGCAATAAAGGCTTAACAACATTATCCAAACAAAACGAAACGTGTTTGAACTGTTTCTCTGGACGTTTCACCGCTGTTTTTTTCAGCGTCTCGAGCTCTGTCTCATGGCCAGGTTATGTGAAAAATCATATTTTCATTTCTGGTCAACCTTAAATTACAAAAGGGTCCCCTCACGCGGCAGGTAACTCGACGGTAATCATAACGAAGTTACATACACAAGGCAAAGTAACGTCAATTATGAATTGAATATGACCCAACGGATATTTACAATAAGTTATTTAACATTAAACGTACCTGCAAATGTCTGTGCTTCGTCTTCACGAACGTATTCCAGCTTCTTTGAGTCCTTCAGGTCCATCCTCCATCGGCGGCGAGAAGAGCGTCAGAACAGTGCAACAGCTGGAGATTAACCGTCGCACGTAATCAGCTGGCATTATGAATGCACGGCGCGGGCAAAATCCTATTGGACAACACGAATTCAAATCTGCTGGCTGCCTGCTAATGCTAAGCGAAAGTCAATGGACAATCCCCGCTTTGCAGACCCGCAAGTTTAAAAAAATATCATCTAATGTGTCACAAAATGTAGTTTTAAGAGTATTTCAGGCGAGAATGTAGTTATTTTAAACTCGAATCGGCAGTTTATTTAAAAATACAGCGCTTCTTTGACAATGTGCTTCAGTGAAAGCGGACTCTGTCAGCGGGAGCTTTATGATTCTCTCCCCCGCCGACAGCAGCTTTTACTTCGGCCAGTCAATCTCGGATCTGCCGCTGGATTCAATCTCCCCTTGTAGTTAAAACATTATATTTAATACATTTTGTGTATATCTAACGGCCAGCTTTTGGTCTTTTAAATCTATTATTTGTTCTCAGCTGTCTTATTTTGGCAGTATTATTCTGTTACGTTTTATAATTGTTTTATTAATTAATTAATTAATTTATTAATGCTACAATGTTGTACTCTGTCTTTGTTTACCAAGCTGGTTACCTTTAATTCCTATTGTATATATCTACTTTATACTTGTATGTCCATTCTAGTAGTTTATTAAATCTGATAATCAAAGAAAGGTCTGTGTATAATAAGCCATTTCACTTTACATTTAGGGGGATTTATGTTAACATTTTCTTAAATCAAAAATATTAATTTATAATATTTATAAGGCCATGTTTATATAATTAAATAATTTAATTTATAATGTACAGTTTTTTTGTGCATTTCTTCCAAATAACCAACAACTCGTAACATAAATGAAGGACCATTTCATACACGTTGACTTGCTCCTTTTTCACAAAAGTGATTGTACCTTTCTTTGGGCCTTAAATGGCACAAACATGGACCCTTTGACAGTTGGGAACATATTTGTACCATTTTTACCCTTAAATGGTACATATAAGTATCTTAGGGTGCTACTTTGAACCATTGAGGGTACAACTTCACCATTTGTACCCCAAGTGTTCACAAATGTACCCCAACCGTACCCTTTTTTCTGACAGTGCACGTGGGGTTGAGTCGGCCGACTGCTCTGGAATATTCAGCATGCTGAATGTTGGATTTCCGTCTGCGAGGTGTCGGCGACGCGTCAGCGAGCCTCGTTGATGTGTTGCTCAGTAGTTCACACATAAAGAGCGGCGAGCGCCGAGCACCCGCAGATTTCTTCCCGATCACAGCCCGATCTGTCGGCGAGCTTGTTAACTTCCAAATCGGGCTCAAATCAGGCTTAAAATCCTCTAGTGTGAACTAGGCATTACCTTCATGTGGACGTCTTTAACACTGTTACCGACGTGCCCAGTGGTTTGCCACTTATGTTGTCAGATTTGAAACACAGAGTGGAGATTACCATGACAACAGGGTTCTTGTCTGGTGAAGAAAGGTTCCAAAAAGCAGGTAAAATAAAATAAACAAGTACATAACAAGGTGAGAACATGGTAAGATCTAAAAAAAATGTGGTAAAAAATAGGCAGCCATGAGGGCTTTAGCTTTTCTTATTTAGGATTGTTTTTGAAAACTTTGTCAGTTGGGTTTAGGGAAGGTAGTGGGAGGTTTAATCTTTGCTTTTGAAAACACTATCGGTTGGGGCTATGGAAGGGGGTTGGTGGGGGGATTGGTCAGTCAGTCAGTCAGTCAGTCAGTCACTTAGTCAGTCAGTCAACAGCAGCCTCAGGTGGATTTAAATGAGAACAGCAGATCTAAAAAAAAAGTACATAGTGGCATATATATATATATATATATATATATATATATATATATATCTTTTTTCCAGAAATAAAAAAATATTACAAGAAATACTGTGAAAATGTCTTTGATAAAACATCTCTTGGAAAATATTTGAAAAATAAAAAAATAAAAATAAAAAAGGGCACATCAAGTTTGCCAACTGTATTTGTATGTTCTGAAATCTTTTATACTAGTTATGCTTTCTCATGAAATCAGGTTGGATGGGAACAAACTATTGAAAGAAGATGTCACAAGACAGCAAGACAAAAAGCAGAACATTTTGTTCTGAAAGTATTTTGAGTTTCATTTTAGCTGTCAACACTTTATTTACTAAACATAGCTGAACCAATCAAGCTAGCTCTGTTTAAGTCAGTCAACATGTAAACATTTTGAGGGTGGATCCCATAGCTTAATTTGTTTAGATACCACATCTTAATTTGTAATCTGCAGAGGAATCCTAGACAATTTTGCACATTACAGGCTGTATTTATGGGCCATTACAAGTAAGCCGTTCATCAAATTAGAACGTTCAGAGCAGGTCCGTGAACAATCGACTGCTCACTGAAAAAAAATTTTTTTTTTACTGTACATCTATAACTATAATCATAGGCATGTATCAAATATATGCAATCAGAAATTTGAATTTCCCAGTAGAACATTAGCCAAGAACCCCTTGTGAAGTTGCATTTACTACTGAAAAATACAGAGATAATAGCTGAATTCTTGTAATTATGGTAATTATGAGATTCTGACTTGTTAAAATTATATACATAAATCGTAGAAACATTAACTCTAAAAAATAAGAGGCTGTTCTGTATTGTCACTAATTCATGGCTGAATGGAGTTATAAAATGGTTACCACACAATATACAGATAAAAATAAAAGCCAAATAAAGTGGAAGTCAGAATTATTAGCCTTGACTATTATTATTAAATGATTATTATTATTAAATGATGTTGAACAGAGCAAAGAAAATTTTCATAATATTTTTCTCTTCTCGAGAAAATCTTATTTGGTTTATTTCGGCTAGAATAAAAGCAGTTTTAAATTTTTTAAAAGCCATTTTAAGAACAAAATTATTAACCTCTTTAAGCTTTTTTTTTTCTCGATTGTCTACAGAACAAATCATAGTTATACAATAATTTGCCCTTTTACCCTAACCTGTGTAGTTAACCTATTTAACCTTGTTAAGCATTTAAATGTCACCTTAAGCTGTATCAACACAATCTCACGGCAATTCGTAACTTTTTCATTTAGTGGCTAATTCGTATGAATTCGTACAATCTAATTCGTATAATTTAGTACGATTTGCTTTTCCCCCAATGACGGTTGGGGTTAGGGGTGGGGTCAGGTGCCACGCCTCCTTTTTAAAATCGTACCATTTCGTACGACTGAACTCGTAAGAATTCGTACGAATTAGCCACTAAACTGGCAAAACGTAAAATACTTACGTTTTCTCGTGAGATCAGGCTGGCTGTATAGAAGTGTCTTGAAAAATATCCAGTCAAATATTATTTACTGTCATCATGACGAAGATTAAATAAATCAGTTATTAGAAAATAGTTATTAAAACTATTATGTTTAAAAATGTGTTAAGGAATTTGTTTATCCGTTAAACAGAAATGCCTCCACAGTCACCAGATCTCAATCCAACAGAGCACCTTTGGGGTGTGGTGGAACGGGATAATGGATTCATGTGCAGCCGATAAATCTGCAGCAACTGCTTGATGCTATCTTGTCAATATGGACAAAAATCTCTGAGGAATATTTTTAGCACCTTGTTGAATCTATGCCACGAAGGATTAAGGCAGTTCTGAAGGCAAAAATGGGTCCAACCTGGTACTAGTAAGGTGTACCTAACAAAACGACCTGTGACTTGCATTATGGGACCTTGATATCTGCTCTGTCAACTTTTTGATGTTAAAAATTCTCTTTACAATTTAACAAAGTGACTTTTATTGGCATTTTAATAGTTTGAAATAACAATGTATATATTTAGAGAAAATTATTTATTTATATAGAGAAAAATACGTCTGTAAAATAAAACAAAATGCACTGACAATATATTACAAGAGTTTTGTTACATAATATACAACACCAACTTAAACAATTTATTACTTTAAGCTAATAAAACTAGTAATAATTTTTTACTTTTTTACTTTTCACTCTTTACTTTTAAAAGTTTTTGGAATAAGATCAAGGTAATTCAAAAGCATAAATAAATAGGGAAAATAAAACACGAATCACAAAATATGAAAAACTACTAATCTACGAATCATTTTTACAGTGTATATACACATCCTTAACTCTCACCTTTAGTTTTCCAACTTTTATTTTACATACAGTACCTATGAACATACAGCATCATAAACAAACTTAACTCTTGGGTTAAAAATAGAAAGAAAATAATTAATCCAGTCATAGGATTAATTGGATGTTTTACCCAAATTTGGGTTGAAATAACACAGCTTTTTTTAGAGTGCATAGACTGTATCATTTGAAAAATATTTTATTTAATAATAAATAGAAGGAGCATGTATTTGACTGACATTCCAGAATGGGGTATATGCACAGATGGTGTCTGTCAGCCAATGATAAATTTCCAGTGAAAGGTTTATGTGACTATTGACAATTTAATGATGTTCCTATGTTGTAATGTAATTAAAACACAATCAGTTAAGCATTTATTTAGTTGTTCAAGCATAAAACAAGTTCAAATACAGTGTAAAGCGTAAGTAGCAGCAGGCTAGCACAGAAACTCTATTGAAAATATTAGGGTAAAAAAAATGTCCATATTTTAAAGACGGTGCACAAATTGAATTTAATGCAGTGCTTCTTGTGTGGTCTATTTGATATAAAGTGGGTAACTTTATAACATATTTCAGTGAAGATTACTGAATTTTAAAGAAATCAGATCTTAAAGGTGGTGATATTGTAATGGACCGGCAGTTTGCTGAAAGCGCTTGGGCTGGCTAACTAAAAAATTACAAATCTGTATGCATAAACCCCATTTACAGCAGGCTGACTATGCATTGCAAAGGCATCTTCAAAGACATTTTTTCTCTTCAGACAAAAAAAGCACTTGGGTGCAACAAGTTGATTATCATGACTTTGAAGGAAGGACATTTCTAAAAAAATATATGAAAGCAGCATACATTTACTGTGAGATGGTATCATCAACCTCATTATTTGTGTCTTTTCAGGTTCATCGGTAGTGTAGTAAAATAGTGTGCCATCATTTACACACCCTTGACAAGACTTTTTGTTCTGTTGAACACAATAGAAGATATTTTGAAAAATGCTGGAATCATGTAAGTATTTAGTTCAACAGAATGTTCAACAGAAAAAAAGCCTGAAACTGACTTGGAACAAGGTAAAAGAATAATAAATGATGGCAGAATTTTGGGTGAACTATCCCTTTAATATGAAGGTCAGATCCAGATGACCTGTGGCTTTTATTATGCTTGTATCACCCCAGAACTCACAGGTCTCACTTTGTCAGTCTTAAGGGACTTTTATGAAGAGAGAAAATAAATTAGATTTTAGCTCCTGAAAGACTGCGGCAGTCTATA